CCTCGCTGTATGCGATGATGCGGCAATATTTATGCCCCATCAAAGGTGACATTGATAATCTCGCTGGCATCATGAGAGGATTTGGGGATGTCACGGGCCTATGTACTAACTTTCACAAGAGCTCGGCGGTGCCTATTCTATGCGATCATATCAATCTTGAGCAAATTGTGTGAAGCTTACAGGCCACAAAAGCCTCCTTCCCAATGCGTTATTTGGGGTTGCCCCTATCTGTTTTGTGCCTTAAAAAGGTGGATCGTCTCTGGCACCTCGTGGACAAGTTTGTAGGAAAGGTAGTCACTTGGTAGGTTCAAAACATAATCTTCATTGGTCGCACGGCCTTCGTCAAGCCGGTGATCACCTCCCAAACCATCTACTTTATCACACCGCTTGTAGTTTTGTCGGGCATATTCCACGACATCAACAAGCTCGAACGAGCTTTCATTTGGTCTGCTTCAGACAAGACGACCGAAGAAAAATGCAAGGTCAACTCAAAGGCGGTTTGTCAACCTTCAGAGTATGTTGGATTAGGTGTGCTCAATACCGACAAATTCGTGCGTGCTCTTAGGTAACCTTGGCCTTGGTATAAATGGAAAGAGACTTCCAAGTTTTGGGTAGGGATGGGAAATCCATGTGATGAGGATGATCCCAACTTCCTCTATGCTTCTTCCACCGTCTCCACCGGCAATGGTGCGAAAACACCATTTTGGAGCTCGCGTTGGCTTCTTGGTCGTAAGCCCATGGATATTGCACCTCTTATCTTTGAGGCTTCCTCAAGAAAAAATGGAAAGTTCGAGAGTCACTTCATGGCAATGCATATGTGAATATTTCACACTTTGGATGCACCTTAGATGTTAACCTTGATGACCAAACCAAAGGTGATATCATTTGGAAGCACACAACCTTGGGTCAAATGGTATGAAAGGCTTGGGCATGGCCAAAAGTGAAATTTGCCGCTTGGTTGGCTATTCAAGATCCAATTTGGATAGACTATATATTGGCAAAGCATGGATGGCAGAATTGTTGGCTATGCCCACTTTGCAAGAGAGTCCAAGAATCCAGTGATCACATATTCCTCAAGTGTCGGTTCACCTTGCGCCTATGGAATGTGGTGATTGACAAGCTTCATCTAACCAACATTGACACGTCCCTTTGGCACCTCGAACGCTCCGTCAAGGATTGGTGGTCTAGTCGTCCTAGCTCTAGTATATCCAATAGGAAGGCCATGGCATATTTAACCTTGTTGGTTTCTTGATCAATTTGGCACGGGGGAAACGCTGGAGTCTTCCATCATAAGTGCGCCCCAATGACAGTTCTTAACACGGTGATTGACGAGACAAAGCTTTGGATCGCCGCAGGGGCTAAGCATCTAGGCAATTTGATGGCGAGAGAGTAATCCTTTTGTTTGTAAGGGGTGATTGTAACACAAATGTTATCCCCTTCTTGTTTAATGTATGAGGCAAATCTTTTGCTTCTATTTCAGGAAAAACTAAATATTATGAAACAAAATTTCTTACACGGAAGCGAAAATGGAACAGCGTTTTTCGTGTATGGAACTTTCCGTTTTCTATGTCTATGTGGGTTAGTCCGGCACTCGATAAAACTCATGTAGTGGCATATTAACCATAACACAAATACCTGATAACTCATGTTGTTGGGACAAAATCTCACCTTGCTGGCCGTCGCCTCCGCTGTGAAGACAACGCCACTTTCTGAAAAAATGTGGCAGCAATTACTTCCGTTCATTTTCGTTTCATTTTCATACCTAAATGTGATGGTGGTGATCATTAATGGTTGTTGTTGTCATTTGCTGCAGTTATTCTCGTCATCCTTTTTCTTACTTTTGTAATAATATGGTCGCATGTATTCCCCATATGTAGCTCTTGAATCATATTGTTTCAGAAGTCGGAAGTAATTGATATTTTCTCAATATTATGAGTCATTTATCAGTCACCACTAGATCTTAATCCAACGGTCCAAAATAGAACCTCCCTCCTATCTTCTTCTTTCTGGCTGCCCTGTCCTAACCACCGGCCTCAACAACCAGCGGCCGGCGGGTGCTACCGCGCACCGCCTCGCCGCCCCGCCGTCTCCTCAACCTCCCCCACCGCTGTTGTTGGCCACCACCCTGACCATACCTCTAAGCCCCGCACCGGTGAACAATTGCAACAATCCGCCTGCACTCCACACCTCTAAGATAGATAGTGAGGTTGCTGCTCTCCAGCGAATCTGCATCCCCACATTTCTAAGATAGATAGTCGAGTTGCGGTAATTGCCTTTGGCTCCTAGGTGCATATGCACCCATTGTCGAAATACACATTTCAAAAAGTTGAAAAATTCAAAACAAAAATTATGCGTGTATATTCAGACATTTTATGTGCGTGCACAAGGTTTCAGTGAAAAAGGATGTTTTTTGTGGCTTGTGTAAAAAAGACAATTTCTGATGCTTCATTCTAACTATTCACGAGGCATTTCTTTATCTTTTTTACACAAGCCACAAAAAACGCCGTTTTTCACTGAAACCTTGTGAACGCACGAAAATGTCCGGATATACACGTGGGATTTTTGTTCCGCATTTTTCAACTTTTCAAAATGTGTATTTCGATAATGGGTGCATATGCATATGCACCTAGGAGCCAAAACGCCGCGTCCGTCGAGTTGCTTCTTCTCTGGTGAGGTTGCTTCTTTTTCGATGAGGTCCGGCCTCCCATCACGAGGCCTATGGAAAAAAAATCATATCTGAAAATAGCAAAACCGATATTTTTTTTATTATAAAGAAACTAGAATGTAGCAGGCCGGTTCTGTCGCCCCATTCGAAAGCCAGCATGGTTTTTTTTTTTAGAATATCGAAAGCCAGCATGGGTGGGCATGCGAGAGCTCACCGGAACAAACACCCTTTCCTGTTTCCTGGCCCCGGGCAGGCCGGAATCGCTGTACACCACGGAGAATCAGTGGGCGGTCCGGCGGGACCTGTAGTTTCTCCGTGGGCTATCTCTTCTCCTCTACCCGCGCAGCCGGACACAACAAGCAAGTCATAAAGCTGGCTAGTCTCCAGTCCAGTGCCGTAGCTGTCGCGCGCAACTTGCGTGGAAAAGGCCCAGGATAAGCTGACGAGCCCACAAAACAACGAACATAATAAATAAAAAACCGGCGTGCAACTTATCGCGGAAGTTAAAGGACGCAAGATGGAGTTTCAGTCATGCAGTTTCATCCATGAGCACCGGATTTTTTTTTTTTTTTTGCGGAATCATAACTTCGAACCTTATAATCTCGCTAATTTTTCTCTTCGAAACACCCACAAATTTATTCATATTCATAACAATTACAGATACACTGATTCGGATCTAAAATCCAAGACAATACAAAGTAACTTCTATGACTAAGAATTACAACGAAATCTTTTAGAAAGACCTTCTTCGCTGCATCAATCTCTGTTAGAAGAAATACTCCAAAAACTTCAGTAAAAATGCTACAATTGGACTGGAGCGACGGTGTTGTCACTCTTTCGCCCGCACGAATATTATGAATAATGGTATTTGAAAGCACCTTGAGTCGCCCATCCAAAAAGATGAGAAGTCTTGATCGGTGAACGTACTTGGGATCCCCCAGGAGTGCAGGACATCGGATCACAAATCTTCACCATGATATCGATGAAACACTTCAACTTTACAAAAAGAATCAAACCAACAGAAAAAGTTTGACACACCAACCTAAACTCATCAGTTCCGAATAATTGAACTGCGAGGACAGAAAACTCTCTAACCTTATGGCATCGCCAAAAGACGAGAATAAATTCTCACCGTAGTACTTCTCTGTTTCAGTTTACAAGACATGTGCGTACCCCTAGGTTGCCAGTTTTATCACCGTAATATAAAATATATAACAAAAAAACCGTTTGAAAATAGAACATCTGAAATTTATAATTGTTTATTTTTTGTAATATATGACTCCTATTAGGTTGATTAAATTGACAATTTAAGGATACATGCACACCTTGTAAACTGTGAGAGGGAGTACTCTACATATGCTTGTACTCTAGAAGTAGGCCGTCACTTTTTTTTTTGTTGGGAAAGGCCGTCACATTTGGTCGGTGTACCTTATGACCCAGTTATTACCGATGAAGATTACCAAAGTTTAATAAAGTTAGAGAGATTTCTCAAAAAAGAATAAAAAATCCCCGGCGTCTTTTCCCGCTCTGGCCCACGACGGCCACTTGCTGCCGCGTGGCCGTGACCACGTCGCGGGTGCGCCCGGTTCAGTGTCCGTCCGCCGTGCGCGCGCGTGTCCACGTCGCCCGCCCAAACGCCAAACCCAACCCAATCCGAGAACGGGCGCACGCGCGGCGCAGATCAGCCAGCGTAAGCATAAGCCACCGCCGCCACTCGTTCGGTCGCTCCGTTCCACTTCCACAGCGGGCGCCATGGACGCGGCCGTGTCCCTGCACCACCACGGGGCGCTCCCCGCCGCCGCAGCCTCCCTCCAGCCCCACCACCACCACCGCGCGCTCCACCTCAGGCACCCGCCTCCGGCCTCCTCCATCTCCGCGCGCCTGACCGTGACCGCGCCGCCCCGCCGCTCCTCCTCCTCCTCGTCTGTCTCCGCCGCTCCGCCGGCGCACCCGGCGCGTGCCAGCACCAAAACCATCACCAGCAGCCGCGCCGCCACGGGCTACGCGGCCGCGCTAGCCGACGCGTCGCTCCGCGCGGGCACGCTGCCCGGGGCCGCCCGCCACGCGCGCGCCCTGCTCCGGCGCCTGAAGGAGCCTCCCCGCGGGCAGCGCCTGGAGGAGCCCGACGCGCGGGTGGGCGCGCTGGTGCGGCTGCTCGTCGGCAAGGGCAAGGCCGGCATGGTCGCCGACGTCATGGCCGAGTTCGCCGCCCTCTGCGACCACCTGCTCGCCCCGCCGCCGTCTTCAGCCTCGTCGAGCAAGCGCGCCCAGTGCGCCCCCGCCTACTAGCGCCTGATGCACGTAACGTACGTGCCATGCTAGCTTTTCGGTTTTGCACTTCAGGATTACTGGCTGATGCATGCACGTACGTAACGCCACGCCGGTATCAACTGCAGATGCCCAACTGCTTGCTACTGTACTATGACTGTATAATTAACTGTGAGCACTGTCCATGCGCGTACGCATCACAAATCTTCTGTCCAACTGCTTGCCACCATGATCATATTGTAGTCGATGGAACCCAGATGTTTCTAGTCTTGTAGACAAGGCCAGTTCATCGTCATTCAACCGCTCGAAACTAAAACAATTCATTATTGAGAGGTGCCCATCTAAACATTATGCATGCATAGTGTCAATCCTGACATGCCCCCAATATAATACTACTACTTGAGCTGTCGCGTAGAAGAGACCAATTAACTGAATGGCTTGAAATAAGAGTTGAGGCTTGGACGCAATAATCGATCAGGCAGCCTGCTACGCACTGTACGTTGCTGCCTGCCTTGTTGTAAAGCATAGCAGTTGAGGAAGGGTATGCAGTTGAATTAATCAATCACACCATGCAATGGCACACGTAATCCATCCATCTCCGTCGATGGGTCGCTCGAGCCGACCAATCAACGTGAAGGAGTGACTAGGTTAGGCACCGCGTGACACACGAGGCCGTGACATCCGGCGACGTCGATCGATCCACGGACCCCAGCTTTCGTGCAGCCCCGGTGATTGTATATGACTTGCACGCTAATCCTCAACCGCCGTGCCGTGGATCTATATATTCTGTAGCCACATGTCGGCATGTGATGGTACTGTTTTTGTTTTCACCGTCGAATTCTTCTGTGTCAAAGGATGATGAACACGTACATAGGGCAGGAATGGAGTGGACACGCACGGATGGACTTATGTGGGTTTGGAATATGAATGAATGGATGAATGATCATGCATGACGATCGACTTTCTGCCTAATCAACTTTGCGGAGGAATACTTACTGAAAGAAAGAGAAATGTTAAAGCTACGCACTGTACGTACTGGACGCGTCCTGCGTACTCTACAATGAGTGCCGAAAGAGAAAGGGGCCGGAGGCAGGCAGGCGGTACGTACCCGGCTACCTGTACGAGACGAAATCTACAGCAAGCGGTAGGACATCACTACTGGCTATGATGAACCAAGAACACGGAACTTTTGATCTTGAAGAATTGGCATCCTTGCTCCACCACGAAATCTGATCTTTAGTATTTTAAAAAGTAAATAACACGAGAGAGATGTACAAAAAATCAATCAAATACTAGCAACACCTCCATTACTACTATAGTGAGAGCAGCGATGCAAGTGAGCAACCCCCTCCTTTCAAGTTTCAACCACTCTCGCTCTCCCCCATGTCACCCACATATTTATATACACGCAGAGGCACGGATGTCAGACGACATACGCGCATGAGCTAGCCAGTGTCCGTCTGATACAGGCCGCCATATACAGGTGCAGCTTCACGCCAGCCAGCCGCCGGCGTCTGCCTTCAGAGTTCAGACCGATCGCCGGGGCCATGGAGGAGGACTACGTGTTCAAGGTGGTGGTGATCGGCGACTCGGGGGTGGGGAAGACGCAGCTGCTGGGGCGCTTCACGCGGGGCGAGTTCTGCCTCGACTCCAAGTCCACCATCGGCATCGAGTTCCAGACGCGCACCGTCGACATCGCCGGCCGCCGCGTCAAGGCCCAGATATGGGACACCGCCGGCCAGGAGCGCTACCGGGCCGTCACCAGCGCCTACTACCGGGGCGCGCTGGGCGCCATGCTCGTCTACGACGTCACGCGCCGGGACAGCTTCGCCCACGTCGCCCGCTGGGTCGCCGAGCTCCGCGCCCACGCCGACAAGTCCATCGTCGTCGCGCTCGTCGGCAACAAGGCCGACCTCGCCGCCGCTGCGCCGGGGCGCCGCGAGGTGGGGGCCGACGAGGCCGAGGCCTTCGCGGAGGAGCAGGGGCTCTTCTTCTACGAGGCGTCCGCGCTCAGCGGCGACAACGTCGAGGCCGCCTTCCTCGGCCTGCTCGAGGAGATCCACGCCACTGTGTCCAGGAAGCCGCTGGAGGCGGCCAGAGGCAACGGTGACGGCGACGACGACGTCCTGGTGCTCAAGGGCATTTCTCTGTCTCAAGAGCTGTCCATGATGGAGACCAGCGCCATGAAAACACCAAGCAGGTGCTCTTCATGCTCGACGTGATACGATACGATGCCAGATGATGTATTCAGCGATTAATTAATTCATGGCTGGAAGACACCAAGCGTCTCAAATCGTTCATGAAACCAGCGCCATGAAGACACCAAGCAGGTAGCTCATGGCTGATAGACTCAGCAGCTCTTAATAAACACAAGCGTCGCTGATCGTTTATGGTATTGATGCTCGCTTCATCCGAGGCGACAACACGGCGCTTCTCCCAAACAAAAAAGCGAAAAATCTCAATGGATAGGGGTGCAAGTAACATTCAGATGATATGAAAAGAACGGACGGTATTTTTGAACCATGGAATGATGATGATGGAAGGGCACATTTCTTCAGTATGTATAGAGTCTGTCTACCCTACAACAGTTAAGTTCCAAAACGAAAATTACAAGATGAACAGACCAGGTGTTCCACAGAACTATAGAATTCTGCATTTTCCACACACAGAACGATGGAACTCAAAACATCAGTGCGGGGCTTTGCCAGCTGCAATAAACTTCAAAAACCAGAGAGCGGCCCCACGACGCTAACCGACCGAACCAATACATATGCTGAATCTAGGTAGGTAATGCCAGCGCTTACTCCACTGCGGATTTTTCAGAGATCTAGCAAAAGGAAAACCTTCTGTTTTTAGATTAAGGTGAAGATGGCTCCTGCGGTTCCGACTGACTGTTCTGAACTATTCGAGACATCAGCTTAGATATCTCAAAGATTGCGCTCTGTACCTGGTCATCTTCGGGATCCGATGGCCGGATCCACACAGGTGACTGGAGACCCGATGTCGCACCGCTTGCGGCCTTCTTTCCCTTTCTAGATGTTGACAAAGCTTTCTCCAGGTCCGATTGCCTCAAGGGTCTTGGACTCTGAGGCGGCAGTTACAAGCAAAAAGGTCAGAACTAACGAATACATAATGAGGAACTTACGCTAATAGTTAATAGCTTTATGGTCCTGTTTCGCTATCCAAACATAAATGCAGGTTTCCCAAACAAAAGGGAACTTCCCTGATAGGGTAGAAAAATACCAAAGGGAAGTTAATTCACTGTAGAGGAAAGTACTGAATACTCACATTTGCTCTGGTCCCATCTTTCTCGCTGTTCAAAATCTCCCTGATAGGATAGAATGCAGCCTGCTTGCACAGTTCTAGGATGTCTGACCCAGTAAAGCCCTCACACAAACTGGCAATGTAATCATAATCAATGTTAGACTCGATATTTTCTCCCTTCAATATAACCTCAAGTATCTTGCTTCTTTCACTGCGAGCAGGAACCCCAATTTCAAATATCTGCGTGAAGCGCCTGAGGATGGCCTCATCTAGCTCAGAAGGTCTGTTTGTAGCAGCAAGCACCATCACACGAGCATTCTCTACACAGCCATAATAATTGTCATGAGATATTGCTCCATACTACCTATGGAAGTTTCTATGAAATAAGTTAACGTATTCATTATTTACAGATGTATCATATACAAGCAAATCTCATGTGGATAACCAACTGGGCATCAGAACAAATTTGGTTGATCAAAATAAATTCCTTTCATTCTCCAGGAAAAAAAACTATCTCATGTACACCTTAGAGATCAAAAGTTTACATGTATAGCCACAACTACTTTTTATTATTGTTACTTCTATCTTCTGTTAAGATTGCAACATCCTCGCCACATTTGATATTTCGAGATAAAAGGATATTTGCTAACCAATATTGCCGTACTACTACAGCTTAAAGTTAGCATCACAGATCACACACAAGCATGCAATGCATCAACACGTGAAGTTCACATAAATAACACTAACCACATAAAAGCAACACAGAAAGAAATACATGTCAACAAAAGTAGATTCTGAGTGTCAGTTTTGCGTTAGGTTGTTAGTCTAATTGCTGGACATTAGTTGCCCAAGTTTGTTAAAAGCACCTCACCTCAAATGACTAGCAAGGACAAGTATATCAAAGATGTAGAACACGAAGTAAACTACTAACAGACTCCTTGTCTGCTCATTTAATTCTCACATAAATACCTATGTCTAACTTGCCATTACTATCTAATTTTAACTTGATATTTCTAAACCAAGGAGTAAGGTCAAGGGAGAGAACTCTGAACAAAATGGCATGGTTGAAAACATTTTCACTCAAATAAAACAATAATCCAGGTGTCATACAAATTATATGAGCAGATCCGTGGATCTATGATCATGAGAATATCGTTGGCACTAACAACCCAATCCAGTAGATTACTAAGTAAGACGAAAGTAGGCATTAAACAAGTATTTATTTAGCGTAATTACATGAACGACACTTTTATGAAGTCAATTTTCAATAAACTTGGACATCAAATTTGTTGTATTTACTGCTAGTACATTAGTTAGGCTTAGCTCAACATAACAAAGAATAAAATTAGCATATAAATTATAGTAACACAAACTAAAAAATTGCACGGTTTGAATGACCAAAAATAGATTTTGTTGTTACATGCTTTTATGGGATGGAATCAAATATGTAAATTTTTACATACATCTTAAAAATATGACAATGAAAATTATTTACGTAGTGTGAATATATACAAAAAATGTTTGATAGAGATGCAATCATGTAAATCTTCAACGGACTATTGTCCAAGGGAATATTGAAGTAAATTTTATATAAATCCTAATAATCCAAAGTAACAGATGTCTGTAGGGTGCAAATTATCAGGGGTACCTTTTGTTAATGGACTGCTCTATGGAACGACAGGACAACGTGTGACGCGCCCTGGATGCAACACGCATCAGCTATACGCATCAACTCATCATAGAGCGTGTGCGTGCACGGCTGATCGCGTGGCAGACTGTGGCGCGCCATAGGACTTGGTTGCGAATGTCAGCGCGTTATAATTGTCGTTCGTTAATACATACATTTCTAGTGCAATTTTAATGACATTACTTTTCAGTACAGACCAATATGTGAAGTCCTTGGATAGTGGCATGTGTCTAATCGTTATCTGCATGCAGACTGCTACTCTAAGAGGCCAAGATACCACTACTTTATAATGTTGTTCGTAGATATAAACCTGTATTGTAAAAAAAAAGTTTCTTTTGCCAGCATGGTTCTAATGGGGTAATATATCTGACAGAGATGAAATCATGTAAATCCTCAAATGACTATCAAGACCAAGGGAACATTGAAGTTGTATATAAATCCTAATAACCCAAAATAACAGATGTCTGTAAGGTGCAAATTATCAGGAGTACATTTTGTTAATAGACTGCTCTATGGCGCGACAGGACAAACGTGTGACGCGCCCTGGATGCAACAAGCGTCAGCTATATGTCATCGACTCATCATTGATTGTGCGTGCGCACGGCCGATCACGTGGTTGCGCACGTCAGCGCGTTATGATTGTCGTTTGTTAATATATACTTTTATAGTGCAATTTTGATGACATTACTTTTCAGTACAGATCAATACGTTAAAGTCCTCGGATAGTGGTACGTGTCTAATTGTTATCTGCATGCAGATTACTACTCTAAGAGGCCAAGATAATACGTACTACTTTACAACGTTGTTCATAGATATGAACCTGTATTATAAATATATAGTATGTTATGAAAGCAACAAGGGAGAGTGCTCACGATCGGTGGTGAAACCGTCCCAAAGAGACATGAACTCTGTCTTCATATTAGTCAAAGCTTCATGGTCTGTGTTCCGGCGCTGTCCCAAGAAACTATCAACCTCATCGATGAAGATAATGGCGGGCTGAAGCTTGTTGGCGAGACTAAATACGGCAGACACTGGCACAGAGTTACACAAAATGAGCATCCTTACAACAGATATATACACTGAGCAAGATTAGAAGCATGAAGGATCAATTCCAGCAAACAGGGTACAATCTTGGAGGTGGCTTACCGAGCTTCTGGGCGTCGCCGAACCACTTGCTCATGAGATTGGATATCCTGACGTTGATGAAGACGGCGCCCGACTCCTTGGCGATGGCTTTGGCCAGCATGGTCTTGCCGGTCCCGGGCGGGCCGTAGAGGAGCACCCCCTTCTGCGGGCTGAGGAGCTTGCCGTAGGCGAAGAGCTCGGGGCGGCGCAGGGGCAGGATGACGAGCTCGTAGAGCGCCTGCTTGACCTCGTCGAGGCCGCCGACGGACTCGAACTCGACGTCGATCTCGTCGGGGTTGATGACGTCGCACGCAATCACATCCTGCAGGCAATCCGGGGATTAGGGCGCGCGCGTGCGAGGGGGCGAACCCTGGATTGGATTGGATTGGAATGGGTAGAGGGTGGTGATACCTCGTAGGGGGTGGTGGAGATGAGGGGCCTGCCGAGGCGCTTGGCGATCTCCTTCTTGTGCTGGAGCGCCTTCTTGGAGGACTCGCGGTTGGGGTCGAGCTGGCGGAGGCCGGCGAAGAGGACGAGGCAGCTGAGCGCCGCGCTCGCCGCGTACAGCACCAGCTCCTGCACGAACCGCGACGAGGAGTCCGTCGACCTCATCGGCGCCGCCGGCGATCCCCGCGCCGCTCTCTGCCCGTCGTTGCTTGCGGGGGAGGGGAAAGGAGGGGCGAGATGCGTGGGCGAGGGGGATTGGATTCGTTCGTTCGTTGAGGAAGGGAGGGGATGGAGAAGGGAAGACGGACGGGAGAAGGGATTGGGATTTTAGGGGGGCGGGTCGGTTCGGCTTGGGCTTGGCGTGCCTTCCTTCAGCTTGGAGGAGGGTTTGGTCCGCGTGGGTGGGATGATACTTCTGGTTGCTGTTGCGCTGTGCGCCGCTCAGGCTCTCCGTGAATAGACTGGTTGGGTCGCCCAGAGGGGGCCTGGATCCATTGGTTCTTTTGCTCTTCTTCTTTTGTGTTCGACTAGGATGTCACTAGCTCTCATTTGAGATGTCACTAGCTCTCATTTGAGTGTTTGGCAAAAAATAAAAGCTCTCATTTGAGTGTTTGGCAAAAAAATAAAAACACCGCAATTAGGGCAACTCTAGCGGATTCGTCATATGGCCGATCAAAATGTGACTTATGAAGCGCGTTT